GAGGCGCCAGGCCTACAGGAAGATGCCTGCGCCCTGATGGTCGGTCAGAGGCGGGGGGGGGGGCGTCCGGTGTCTATTGGGAGAGGAGAGGGCGAGGGCGAGCACGCGGGCGAGGTCGGGCCGGGGGGGGAGGAGGAGTTCGTGCAGGTCTTACGGCGGCAGGACGGCTTTCGGTGGTCAGGCTTTATTGTCCAGGTTGGAGCCTTTGTGGGCGCACTGGCCACCTTTCTTCTGGTCGCCTGACCCGGAACAAGCCGCCATGTAATATTCATAAAGCAAAAGCAATGATCAAATGTGGCGCCCCCTCCTCTCACAGCCTTCCATCTTTTCTTTTAACGTGTTCTATGCCAGCCCCGACCCAGCCCTCGCCCCGTCCCCCTCCCGCGCCTCCCTCACTTTGTCCGCCAGCGCCCTCCTGGTCTCCCACCGGGCCCTCTGGAATCGGTTCTTGCACGCAGCCAGGGAGCCCTCGAAATCTATCTCCTTCAGGCGGACCACCACGTGGCTGTACCTCCGGAGCTTGAGACCGAATCTGCCCTTCCCCATGAACATGATCCCCTTCTGGATGTTGGCGCGGTTCACGAAGGCCTCGGCCACCATCAGGTCCTCGGGGTGCAGGTTGTGCCGGATATTGGCCAGATTGGCCGCGTTCTGGATGACCTTCGCCACCAAAGGAGGCCCTTTCTGCTTCCGGGAAAACTTGAGCTGCATGAGGGCCTCCACGACGGGCAGTCCGCGCACTTGCCGGGTAAGGAGGTTGATCTTCCATGGGGACATGCGGATCCTGTTCTTGCGGGACACTACCTCCCGCATCTCGCTGTGGGTGCACGTGACGCGGGAATCACGATAAGAAAGATGAGACGCTCAACGATAGGTGAAAAAGACGAGTGAGACTATGCGTGCAGGGATGCCTTCTTCGCACGCCCGCGGCACCGAGGGGACAAGGGAGGGGGGCCGTCCCGTGTGGTCACGCTTCAACCCGTGACTCGGCAGCACAGCGCGTGTTAATGTGTCCAAAGCGGCCCCGTCTCGGCACTCGGTATATAAGCACAGGAAGGGTCTTGACCCAGGGCCCCCTCGGATTCCTCGATTCACAATAGCAAATCGCTCCCTAGAACGTACCGCGACACAATAGGCTCATCAAGAGCCCCAGATGGCGCAACTCCTTCAACTGCAGTGGAAGACATGGCCCGCTTATTCACGGCAACACACGGCGCGGATGACAGCGAGACTCGCGACTCGCATTCGAGGGGCCGCTGCAGCATACTCGGTGGACTGCGAGCAAGTGGTGGAGAGGAATACCGGCTAAAAAGGCGTCGCAGCATCGTCGATGCCATTGATGACCTGTGAGAGTTGATGTATAAGATTGTCCTATCCAGTCGTTTTTGGCCGTTTGAGGTGTCAAATCGAACCGGGAAATTCCCCTGAAAGCCGGGGCGGCGGTGAGGGGTGGTTGGGCCTCCCTGTCCCCCTCTCCCCTTCCTGGACGTTGCCTTCGTCCTTCGTCCTTCATGTGAACGAATCGATAGGTTCTGTAACCACAAAAATCCTTAAAATGAGAATTAACTTGCCTCTCTCATGCGTTCACGTGTGCTCTCGCTCAGTGGCGCGCATGAATGTAGGGAGACGCAGGCCGTCAAATGCAGTGTCCGCCCTCACCTCCCCCTCCTTCTGCTTCAGCTCGAGCGCTTTACAGGGTCAGCTTGGCGGCATCTGCCCAAGCTGGGTAGGGTGCGGCCCGTGATGACAGACATAGATGCTGGCAGGGTCAAGGCTGCGCAGGAGGCCACGCTTCGGGATGAGGCTTTAGTCATGCGAGTGGCTTCGGAGGTTGCACAGGCCCTCAAACTACCGGTTCGTTGTTTCCCCCCCGCTGTCCGCGCCTTTTCGCCAGTGTTTTCTGTCAAATGTCATGTCTGTGTATGCATGCACTAGGTAGATGGCATAAAGCCGGACGCACGTCTTCAGTTTGAAGAGGACATGGTCCTGACTGTCGTCGTCGGCGTACTTTACTATTTCTGACGTGCACTTCCTCGTTTCTCCGCTGGGCCCAGGGAAAAAATGTGACGTTAGGACGCAAACTTGTGCGGCTGGGTCTGACGCATGCGGACAGCGTGGACGGCTTCTGCGCCGAGGCCCTGCAATTGGCCCCCATCAGCTCCTCTCTTTTACAGGAAGTGCACCACACGCTCAGGCAACGCTACCGTCAGGCCTACGCCACGGCCGGCGAACAGGCAGGGGAGACGGCAGCGAAGCAGATCACTGGCGTAGGGAGGACCATGGATGGCTTCGTCATGTCTCCGGCCAAGCACCTGCCCGGTGGGAGCCAGCAGGCAAGCAAGGAGGAGAAGCCTGTTTTCTTCAAGCCGCAGACAAAGGACAACGCGAGCCCTGTGGAGCGGAAGTCGATGCTGGGATTGGACCGGCTGGCTGCCATGAAGCGCGCGGAAAAGGAAACGACGAAGGACACCTGGAGCGGGGGGAAGCCGGTGGTTAAGAAGGAGGAGAGGGAAGGGGAGGAGGGCGGCAAGGGCGGACCCCGCCCTGAGGATGCGGCGCGGAGAAAGAGCGACTTCCACAGGAGCTCGACAAAGGCCGCGGATCGTTCATACAGGCCTAGGCGAGAGCCGGACACGCCCTCGCACCCGGGGGGCGTGAACGTGGAGGCGCGGCGGGGACTGGAGGAGAGGGAGCGGGGGCGTGGTCGGGGGGGGGGAGTGGCGGTAGGCGAGCGCGGTCGGGGCCGCGTGGAGGATCTAGACGGGCGCAGCAACGGAGACAGGAAAAGGGACGGGAAGGGCGTATACCTGTCAGGGAGAGGCGAGGAGGAGCGTAGTCGTCGGCGGGGGCGGGACCGGGAAGAGGAGGAGAGACAGAGGAGGCGGTCCGAGGGTCGTCCGCGCGAGAACGGGCGCAGGGATAGGGAGGGCCGGGGGAGTCGGAGCCGCAGCCGGAGTCCGGGATACACCTGGAAGCGGCATCGAGGAGAGAGGAGGGAGAGGGGGAGTTCCAGGAGCGAACGGGAGGCGCAAGAGGGGAGCGAGGGGGGTCGCAGCCGGCGGCGGGAGGCAGAAGGCGGCGGCGGCCCTTCCGGTCGGTGGGGGGAGTATGGGCCGCCCACCCCGTCGCGCAGTGGCCTGGGCTTGGACGAGGACGAGTGGGAGGCGCCTGAGAATCTACAGTCCGTGCGACGACCCAGCCTGACTCCCGGAGCGACGCCCTTGGCTTCTCCCCGGGCAACCCCGCGGGCCTCCCTCTATGGCCGTCCCAGCGACGACCCCGGGGAGGCCGCGTGGGAGGTGGAGGAGCGCCGCGAAGGGCGCAGGGGGGATCGCGGGACCGGGAGCGAGAGCATAAGGCCCGCAGTGCCCGAGACCCCCTTCGACTGGCGGGCGGCGATGCGGGAGGACGGGCGGGAGGCGGCCTACGTGGCCGACGGGCGGAAGCCGGGGGGCCCCGATGCCAGGCCTGGGAGCTCGCTGCGACAGAGGCAAAGGGGGCGGAAGGAGGAGGATGAGGAGGATGAGGAGTACTACGAGGCCTTCTATTTGGCGGAGGAGGGCGTCTCTCGGGGGGAGGACCTCTTCGGGGGCGACCCGGCCACGCTCCGAGAGAAGGAGGAGGCCATGCGCAAGCTGCAGGAGCGTAACGAGGCCAACAAGCGACGGCAGCAGCAGAACACACGCAAGAACCAGCTAGCCGCGGACCAGAACGCCTGGGAGGAGAACCGGCTCCTGACCTCGGGCGTGGCGGTCAGGAACGAGGTGGACACGGACCTGGCGGACGAGGAGGAGACGCGCGTGCGCCTGAACGTGCACCATACCAAGCCGCCCTTCATCGACGGCCGGGTCACCTTCTCGAGGCAGCTGACCACCGTCTCGGTGGTGAAGGAACCCACCTCCGACATGGCCATCCTGTCCAAGAAGGGTTCTGCTTTGGTCCGAGAGCGCCGAGAACGCCGGGAGCGGGGCAAGATGCGGCAGCGGTTCTGGGAGTTAGGGGGAAGTCGCATGGGCCAGGCGATGGGCCTGAAGGAGGAAGGTGAGGAGGCAAAGGAAGGGGGTGCAGGTGCGTCGGGTGAGGGTCCGGGGAAAGAGGAGGAGGAGTACGACTACCGTAAAGAGAGCAAATTCAGCGAGCATCTGAAGGACATGAAGAAGGAGGGGCAGAGTGACTTTTCCCGGAGCAAATCCATGGCAGAGCAACGACAGTACCTTCCCATCAGTACGGTGCGGGACGAACTGCTGACCGTCATCCGCGAGAACCCGATCGTCATCATTGTAGGCGAGACGGGCTCGGGGAAGACCACGCAGATGACCCAGTACTTGCATGAGGAGGGTTTCACCGACTTGGGAATGGTGGCATGCACGCAGCCCCGCCGCGTTGCCGCGACCACGGTGGCCATGCGCGTCGCAGACGAGATGGGGGTGGAGTTGGGTGAAGAGGTTGGGTACTCGATCCGCTTCGACGACTGCACCTCGGACAAGACCCTCATCAAGTACATGACGGACGGCATTTTGTTGCGCGAGTCCTTGCGGGAACCGGACCTCGACTCTTACGCCGCCATCGTCATGGACGAGGCCCACGAACGGTCGCTGAACACGGACGTGCTATTCGGGATGCTTCGTAAGGTTGCTCAACGCCGACGGGACCTGAAGCTCATTGTCACGAGCGCCACCCTGGATTCGAAGCGCTTCTCGGACTTCTTTGGGGGGGTTCCCGTCTTCGAGATCCCGGGACGCACGTTCCCGGTGGAGCGCGTGTACGCGAAGACGTCGGTGGAGGACTACGTGGACGCGGCCGTCAAGCAGGCCCTGGCCATCCACCTCTCCCACCCCCCCGGCGACATCCTCGTCTTCATGACCGGCCAGGAGGACATCGAGACCGTCTGCGAGGTCATCGCAGAGCGGATGATGGACTTGGGCACCGACCGGGTGCCCCCTCTCCTGCTTCTCCCGCTCTTCTCCAACCTGTCTTCGGACCAGCAGTCTAAGGCCTTCGAGGCGACCGAGAAGGCCGTGCGGAAGTGCGTGGTCTCCACCAACATCGCCGAGACGTCCGTGACAGTGGACGGGGTCAAGTACGTGATCGACTGCGGCTTCTCCAAGCTGAAGGTCTACAACCCGAGCATTGGCATGGACTCCCTCCTGGTCACACCCGTGGCGCAGGCCAACTCGGACCAGCGGGCGGGCCGGGCGGGCCGCACGGGACCCGGACACTGCTACCGCCTCTACACGGAGCGGCAATACCGGGACGAGCTGCTCAAGACACAGGTGCCCGAGATCCAGCGCACGAATTTGGCCAACGTGGTGCTGCTGCTCAAGTCCTTGGGCGTGACCGACCTGAAGGAATTCGACTTCATGGACCCCCCGCCTCAAGAGAACTTGCAGAACTCCATGTACCAACTTTGGATCCTGGGCGCCCTGGACAACACAGGGCAGCTTACGACGCTGGGCCGGAAAATGGCCGAGTTTCCCATCGACCCACCGCTGGCTAAGATGCTCATCGTCTCCCATGATTTGCGCTGCTCGGAAGAGGTGCTGATCGTAGTCTCGATGCTCTCCGCCCCGCCCGTCTTCTTCCGACCCAAGGACAGGGCGGAAGAGTCAGACGCCAAGCGCGAGAAATTTTTTGTGCCTGAGTCGGACCATCTGACCCATTTGAATGTATATCTACAGTGGAAAAAGAATCGATACAGCGCGCCCTGGTGCACCGAGCACTTTTTGCACGCCAAGTCCCTCAAGAAGGCCCGAGAGATCCACGGGCAGCTCTCCGACATCATGCAGTCCCAACGCATGCCCTTACACGCGGCCGGTAACTCCAACTGGGACAGGGTACGCAAGGCGATTTGCTCTGCCTACTTTTACAACTCGGCGCTCATGAAGGGACTGGGCGACTACCGCAACCTCCTGACAGGCATCCCCTGCCACGTCCATCCCACCTCAGCCCTGGCTGGTCTGGGATACACGCCTGACTATGTCACCTACCACGAGCTAGTCATGACCTCGAAGAGCTTCATGCAATGTATCACAGCCATCGAGCCTGAGTGGCTGGCAGAACTGGGACCCGCCTTCTTCTCCCTTCATGAAAGTTCCACCAACAGGATGGCGCGGCGGCGAGAGGAGAAGGAACTGAAGGATAGCATGGAGGCAGAGATGCAGGCAGCGTTGAAGCGGGAAGAAGAGGAAAAAGCAGCACGAAAAGCTGCTCAAGTTAAAGAGACGCCCAAACATGTAGGGAGCCGGATGCAGACGCCGGGTCGGTGGACCCCCCGCCGCGTGGGTTTGTAGTGCCCGAGGTGAGGATACTACCGCTTCTCGCATGTGCATTGCATGGGAGCACACTTAATTTTGAAAGCATTTATTGAATTTGCTCGCGTGCATGTACATTAGCAAAAGAATTCAGACATAAATTCATAAATTTGACAAGTAATCGAAAGGGAGGGGGGGAGGTTGGATCCGAGTCAACGCCCTTCGTTGTACCTTCTCCTTTTTTCTTCAGTTTCGATTACCAGCGATTCTGCCACTCACCTCTGACTGCCCTGTGTGAGCAATTTCGCCTACCTAACCTGCCGAACGGGAACACAACGTGGTATAGATAAGCACCTTTAAAAGCTGCGTGTACGGGGATGGAGAGCGACCTGTGTGCCTCTTCTTCTTCGCGATCGCCTTGGTCGAAAACCTCGCCAGAATCGTCCTGACTCGTTCCGGCTGGCGTGATGCACAACAAACCCGAGAATGCCAGTCGCCTAGGCGTAGCAATGTATGCCATCACCCATCCCAAGATATTTATTGACCGGCATGACCTGACCCGACAGAGTCACAGACCGAGGCGCCTTGAAGAAGATGATGAGGACGACAAGAGCAATGACGCTGCGCGGATCACTCTGCCTGCTAAGCGCTCTGGCCTTCACATGCATGGCCTTGCTGCCTACGACGGCTGCATTTCTGGCCCCAACTGCCCAAGTGTCTCGTCGACGAGCTTTAACTGGTATGCTCTAATCATGCATGAGATGGAAGATGGCAAGGGTCGCCGCAGAATGCCCGCCGCATGGCTTGTAGATGAATACTCACACATTTTTTCCCGTACACATCTTTTACTTTTTGTATAGGTTTAAGACTAAACTTAGGAGCGAGAGGGTAAGCGCGCTTGATCTGCTCGAGTCGGGAATTGCAGTACATGTCTTATGGCGCTCATCACTCATCACAACCTTCGATGATCCCTTCCTTGTCCCCCTTCACAAAGTAGCACTTTCAGCGGCGAATTCGACAAAGGAGGGCTTTTTGCCAGCAGCAGTGGCTTTCCGTCCATTGGTGACGGTTTTCCTGGGATGGGATCCTCCGGGTCTACCTCCCCCACCGCAACCGCCGATGGGTTCCCCAGCCTGGGCGAGATTTCTTCCTTGTCATCGCCACGTCGCGGGGTGCTTATCCAAAACATGCCGGCAGACTCCAATTTTAAGATTCGCATCCTGGACCGGGAGCATAAGCTTGGGATTACGGGTATTGTTGAGACCATTGCCGTGGTCAAAGACGCGCGTTTCGCGCTCTGTCGAGTCAAGGATCGCGCCGCCGCCATTTTGGACGAGTTTGTCTTTCCTGTGGATGTGGACTCGCAGCCCATGGCGGCTCTGATCCGCAAGGCAAACCGACAGCTTGCGAAGGAGGGCCTGGAACTCAAATGGACGGCACATACGCTGACAGTGCGAGGCTTGAAGAGGCCTGACACCGGGTACATGTCCCGGAAAGAGCCTTTCAACGTGCAGGCGCGACGTCTGCATTCGTCTTGGGGGGCTCGAGATGGGAGAGTAGCGGTCGAAGAGGATGATGAGGGCGCGAACGCCCAGGAGGGAGGTTTGGCAGAAGCGGAGGCGACGGCCACTCTGGCGTCCGCGGAGGAGATGGCTGCAGGCATGGATAGACTGGATGCCGCCTTCTTTGCCGACGTGAAGGATGAAGACTACGCAGGAGACGCGGCCGAAGGTCTTGACAAACGCACGCCCCTGCTGGAGCCCGAGATGCTTTGTCAGTTTGAATGGCAGCGTTCGAAATACCGCGTCGTGGTCTACCGTGAGCCGGTGCCTGTCCTTGCCCAGTGGATGGAGGATGGGACCTGGCGCCTTCTGAAATCGGTGGAAGCCGAGCTGGTGGAGGACGCCATGGCCTACAAGGGCCTGCAGAACGTAGACGTGGAGCTTGTAGGGTCCGAGTAGAATTTTGCACCAGCGAAACTCGATACGGGCAAAACTCCATTGAAAGAGAATGGTGCGCGACACGATCCGGGAAAACCTAGAAGGACAACAGGATGTAAATGATTACGGACCTATATTTGAGACTATTTTTCGAAGGGTTTTTATGGAAAAGTGGAAGATGTTACTTGTGCTGCGACCTGCGGGATCACTTTGGTATAATACGCTAACGACAAAAGAAACATTGGCATAAGCGCTTGTAATTGATTTAACAAATGTGAAGTCGTTGGCATTATTTGAGTTATTTTTCTTTCCTTTGGCCATCCTCATGGCAGGTCATCCCCGCCTGCAGCACGATGAACAGACACGCACCACATGGAATTTACAGGATTCAAGAGAAGCGCCTCCAGGGCCTGGACAACGGTGAGTAAGGACAAATAGCACCACAGAGCCCACCTTCTGCAGAAAGAAGTTCGCGCGTTACGTTGCTGCGCGGGCGCGGGGCCTGCTCGACAGTAGTTGTAGTTAGCTCTGCGATGGCGTCATTTCGGCCTTGGGCAGCGTCGATGTTCTTCAAGCCGCCATCCTTTTTTTCAGCCTGGCCGAACTCAACGCCACACGCCTCTTTTGGAGCCTGTCCTCTTGACAAAAACATCAAGAATTTGAATGCTATGCTTGTGAATGAAGAGTTGCGATTGAAAATTTTTCAAGTAAATCACTAAGTTAGCTTTTCGACTGCGTTCCTCATTCCCTCCCTCTCCAAGAAGAGGGGCGTCAAAAGAGGGAGGCGAGATCCCTGGCTTTCAATCCCGTTCTCATACATTCACGCACAAACTGATCCAGAATTTGGCACATTCGCGCTGGATTCGGAGGCTTGTGGGAAAAGCGGCACGCTACCACCGGCACAAGGTTCCTCGTCTCGCAGCAAGTGCATATTAGCAAGCAACTCGTCGCATAGCTGGGGTAACTACGGCGGCGGAAAGAGCGCAAAAGTGAGGGTCGGCTTTCAAATCTCATAAGAGAAATCATGAGCGCTCACGAATTATACCGGTACGTGTGTTTGGAATTTGCATCGCAGAATCGCATAGTGTAGTTTTTGTGCTTTTTCCTTCTTATGATCGAAGCACGACTCTCGGTACGGATGATGGTTGTCTTCTAGCATGCGCCAGATAAGATTGAAATGGATTCTTGTCGGTTTTTGGGATGGGCCTGTCTTCTTTGTTGTTATCTCACCATACGCTCGAACCACCTTTTGCGCTTTTCTGGCTAGTTCGGTCGGCCAGCAAGAACAAGTTTTGAAACAAATTTTGCGATCGCGACCGTGTGATGTGGAAAAAATTGAGGCTTTGCGCAAAGTTATTCGAGACGCTTATATTGAGTTGCTCTTTCACGACCCGGCGTATGCTTCCGGCAAAGACATGGACCAAAGCCTGTGGAAAACCTGCTTTTACCGCAAAATTGAAGAGTTTCGAAAGCAAATCAGGAGGCTTGCTGCGGCTGCTTCCAGCATTGACCACAAAGCTTCATGCCAAAAGGCACGCGCCGAATTGCACGACGTATGTACAGCGTTTGGAGATTTTATCGCCGATGCTATCGGTTTCTATCAGGACCTGATGGGTCGGTACGAGCGCCTCTATGCCACGCAAAGGGACGTGCGGCCACCTGAGGCGGAGGGCGATGAAAGCGAATTAGGGGTCCTATGCGTGCGTAGCATTCACCGGTGCCTGATCTTTCTGGGGGACCTGGCCCGGTACCGAGAGCTCCACTCCGAGGCCACGCGCAAGGACTGGACGGAGGCGGAGAAGTGCTACCACCGAGCCATCGACACTATGCCCACGAGCGGGAACCCTCACAACCAGCTGGCCGTTCTTGCTACGTACACAGAGGCCGAGTGCGTCGCCGTCTACCGCTACTGCAGGGCTGTGCTTTGTGCCAGCCCCTTCCCGACCGCCAAGGAGAACCTGGCCCTCCTGTTTGAGAAGAATCGGCAGAAAATTCCTGATCCCTCCACGAAAGACGGCGCCCAGATCCTAGAAGAGGAAGGCCGGATCCGCGATGGTCTGGCGGCGGGAACCATCACAGGCCAGCAGGCGGGCATCGCTCGTGCGACGATGCTGAAGTCTTTCCTCCTGCGCTTCGTTCGCCTGCACGGCATCCTCTTCGGCTGCCATCAACGGAAGGAGGCGTCATCAGCAAACGACGAGGGCGGGGATGAAAGCATGTTCCCGACCGACGAGGCTCTCCGGCTGCTGCACACAACTCTCGTCGACCTACGGCAACTCCTGAAGATGTCCGCCTTCGGCGACGGACTGCTCCTGCAAATGGTGGCGATCTGCGTCTTCTCCGTGGTCACGTCGTGGAGAGAAGGCCAGGATCCAGAGACCGTGGCGGAAGAGAGCTCCGCCCAGGTTCTGTCTCTGAGCCTGGCTGTGGGGGTGGTGGCCGAGATCGCCGCGTGCGTGCGCACGACCTGTCAGTCCGAGCACACCACGGCCAAGCCCCCCGGCTCCCGCCTGCTCGGCCCCGTCGTCGTCTTTTGCGACTGGCTGGCGTCGCGGCCGGCGCTCTGGCGTCTTCGCCCTCTGGATCGCTCTAGGACGGCGACTGGTCCTCGCGTGTCGGAGAAGGAGGCGGAGGCGGCCGTCCGCGAGAACTTTTGGAGGGCAGTCGGCAAAGTCGGGAGCGAGCTGCAGCCCCATCTGCCCACAAGGGCAAAGGCACAGGGGAAGGACACGCCCCAGCATCTCGTCTGGACGCCACAGGACGGTCGGGTTTTGAAGGAACAGCATGACATCCGGGGGTTCGAGCCCCTGCACGCTGTCTACGGCGCCGCGTTCATGACCAGGCCTAAGCCGGAGCTCGCTCGCCTGGAGGTGGTCTCGGACGAGCTCGCTGCCACATGGCGGACCCTGCGGCTGCTGCAGTTTTTGAAGAGTGTAGGCGTACAGAGCGGGGCAGTGGGCATGGATACTCACCCTACCACGCCTGGGTGTTGGCTGTTCACGTGCAACGGCCGCGAGAATGTTTTCGCTCTGTCATACCCGGATCATGCAGCCGGCCAACACATTTTTGGAAGCGCTGGTCTGAGGGACGCACAAGGGACGCAGGGAGCGGAGGGGACGAGCAGAGCCCCAATAGCCTTCAAACCCTCTTTCATCAGCCCGTCGGGGGCTGGTGGGCACTTGGATGCATCGCACATTTTGTACTTACAGCAGCAACACCAGCTCATGGT